GGGATTACAGGCTTGAGCCACCGCGCCCGGCCAAAACCTAAGATTTCTACAGCACGTCATTAAAACATACTACTTACCCTCAAAAATAAAAAACTATAGGCCAGGCGCGGTGGCTCACCGCTATAATCCCAGCACTTTGCGGAGCTGAGGCAGGCAGATCACGAGGTCAGGAGATAGAGATCATCTTGACTAACACAGTGAAACCATGTCTCTACTAAAAGTACAAAAATTAGCCAGGTATGGTGGCACGCGCCTGTAGTCCCAGCTACTCAGGAGGCTGAGGCAGGAGAATCACTTGAACCTGGGAGGCTGAGGATGCAGTGAGCCAAGATCACACCACTGCACTCCAACCTGGGCAACAGAGCGAGGCTCCATCTCAAAAAAAAAAAAAAAAAAATTAGTTCCCTTGAAAAATTAATAAAGTCAATCTTTTAGAAAGGGTACCTGTGGCCTCTTACTGCCTTGGGAAGCCCTGAGCAATTACCTTTCTTTTTCCTTAGCGACAGGGTCTGGCTCTATTGCCCAGGCTGGAGTGCAGTGGTGCAATCATAGCTCTCTGATACCTTGAACTCCTGGGCTCAAGGGATCCTCCCACCTTACCCTCCCAAAGTGCTGGGATTATAAGCATGAGCCACCATGCCCAGCCTACATTTTTATGGATTATAAAGCTGCATTATAGGGTCTAGAACAGGAGTTCTTAACTTTTTTGAAACTCTAATGAATATGGTAGGAGAACACATTTTCCTTGAGAAAATGCATCCCTACTGAAAAACATTTTACAGAGTTCTCAGGCTCCCTGGAGTCCACAGGCCATAGATTAAGAATGCAATGTCGCCGGGCACGGTGGCTCACGCCTGTAATCCCAGCACTTTGGGAGGCCAAGGCAGGTGGATCACGAGGTCAGGCGTTCAAGACTAGCCTGGCCAAAATGGTGAAACCCCGTCTCTACTAAAAATACAAAAAAATTAGCTGGGCGTGGTGGCAGGCGCCTGTAATCCCAGCTACTCTGGAGGCTGAGGCAGAGAACTGCTTAAAATCTGGAGGGGCGGAGGTTGCAGTGAGCCGAGACCGTGCCACTGCACTCCAGCCTGGGCAACAGAGCGAGACTCTGTCTCAAAAAAAAAAAAAAGAATGCAATGTCCTGCCGCAGGCTAGGCGCGGTGGCTCACGCCTGTAATCCCAGCACTAGGCCGAGCCAGGCGGATCACCTGAGGTCAGGAGTTCAAGACCAGCCTGGCCAACATGGCAAAACCCCGTCTCCACTAAAAATACAAAAATTAGCTGGACATAGTGGTGAACACCTGTAATTCCAGCTATTCGGGACACTAAGACTGGAGAATCACTTGAACCCTGGAGGCAGAGGTTGCAGTGAGCCGAGACCATGCCACTGCACTGTCCAGCCTGGGTGACAAGAGAGAAACTCCGTCTCAAGAAAAAAAACAAAAAATACCAAAATCAGCCAGGCACGGTGGCAGGCGCCTGTAATCCCAGCTACTCAGAAGGCTAAGGCAGGGAGAATTGCTTGAAACTAGGAGGCAGAGGTTGCAGTGAGCCAAGACAGTGCCACTGCATTCCAGCCTGGGCAACAGAGCAAGACTGCCTCCAGAAGAAAAAAAAAAAGAGGCCAGGTGTGGTGGCGGGTGCCTGTAATCCCAGCTACTCAGGAGGCTAAGGCAGGAGAATCGCTTGAACCCAGGAGGTGGAGGTCACAGTGAGCCAAGATTCCACCACCACACTCCAGCCTGGGCAACAGACCGAGACTCCCATCTCAAAAAAAAAGAGAAAAGAAAAAAAGAAACACAATGTCCTACCATGGAGAATAAGTCGCAGTGAGCCAAGAGTCCACCACCACACTCCAGCCTGGGCAACAGAGCGAGACTCCCATCTCAAAAAAAAAAAAGAAAGAAACACAATGTCCTACCATGGAGAATAAGTTTACTTGTTTTGAATCCAGGTATCACTCTGTTGCCCAGGCTGGCATGCAGTGGCATGATCATGGCTCACTGTGCAGCCTACAGAGACTATTAAACCTACTTAACTTTCCAATCTCTGCTGCTTCTTACTCTTCCATCTCTATCTTCTTGCTCTGTCAGGTAACTACCATCTTCAGTCTCTTAACTAACGTACCTCAGAATCCATTTTCCATACTTCCTTGAAATGATTTTAAAACATAAATCATCCCTTAAACCCCTTCCTTCCTCCCTCCTTCATCTGTACTACTGAACGTGTCGTAGGCTGCATGCAGTGGCTCACGCCTGTAATCTCATCACTTTCAGGAGGCCAAGGCAGGGGGATCACCTAAGGGCGGGAGTTTGAGACCAGCCTGACCAACATGGAGAAACTCCGTCTCTACTAAAAATACAAAATTAGCCAGGCGTGATGGCACATGCCTGTAATCCCAGTTACTTGGAAGGCTGAGGCAGGAGAATTGCTTGAACCGGGAGGAGCAGCTTGCAGTGAGCCGAGATCGCGCCATGGCACTCCAGCTCGGGCAACAAGAGCGAAACTCCATCGCAAAAAAAAAAAAAAAAAAAAAGGTGTAAATAATTTATGTGTCTACCCATATCAGAGAAATAAAGAGATGGCAATCCTTCCTACCATCAGAAGGCTTCAATGGCTTCCCTAATAACCTTATCTCTCCAACTCATCTGTAATCACTCTCCAAAGTGTCAAACACAATTTGTCCTTTCAGTTCTGAAAGCACACTAAATTCTTCCCACCTTCCAGTTTGGGCACTTACTGTTTCCTCTACCTGGATACTCTCTCCTTGACATCCTACAAAATTGGTTCCTCACTCTCCCCAAAAAGAACTTCAGGGGCCGGGAGCAGTGGCTCAAGCCTGTAATCCCAGCACTTTGGGAGGCCGAGACGGGTGGATCACAAGGTCAGGAGATCGAGACCATCCTGGCTAACACGGTGAAACCCCCCGTCTCTACTAAGAAATACAAAAAACTAGCCGGGCGAGGTGGCGGGTGCCTATAGTCCCAGCTACTCGGGAGGCTGAGGCAGGAGAATGGTGTGAACCCGGGAGGCGGAGCTTGCAGTGAGCTGAGATCCAGCCACTGCACTCCAGCCTGGGCGACAGAGCGAGACTCCGTCTCAAAAAGAAAAAAAAAAAAAAAGAAATTCATTCCCCCTTTTCAGTGTCTATCAGAGTTCTGAACTGGACACCTCTGTTACTTTTCTCAATTTGTAATTTATTTGCTTACCTTTTGTGTCCCCCGCTCCCAACAATTGTGTTAAGTTTCCAAAAGACAAGACCTCATCTGTCATTGTACCCCAATATATTCACAGGCCGACAACAGGAACTGGTAAATGATAGGCTCTCAAGTACTATTTGTTGAATAAATTACCCAATCAGAGTCAAATAGTGAACAGATCTTACATATTTATAGAATATGTGTGAAAAAAATCCACCAAAACCCTGCATTTGAGAGAATAGCATTAACCAAACTTCCTTCCATTTAGGATGTCACTATGCCCTACAGAAACAGGGTGGCACCCTGAAATGCTTAGTGGTTAGGACTATCCATTCTAAAAATAATAAATCGTGGCCGGGCACGGTGGCTCATGCCCGTAACCCCAACACTTAGGGAGGCCGAGGCGGGTGATCCCCTGAGGTCAGGAGTTCAAGACTAGCCTGGTCAACATGGTGAACCCCGTCTCTACTAAAAATTAAAAAATGAGCCAGGCGTGGTGACACACACCTGTAATCCCAGCTACTCAGGAGGCAGAAGCAGGAGAATCGCTTGAACCCAGGAGGCAGAGGTTGCAGTGAGCAGAGATTGTGCCACTGCACTCCAGGCTGGGTGACACAGCGAGACTTTGTCTCAAAAAATAATAATAATAATAAATCGTAGGTCTGTGTGCCCTCCCAGTAATCATCATTCCCCATCTCTGTGTTCATCTCAGAAATATTCCAAGCTTCCTCCCTCCAATTCCTCGGAACAAAACAGATCACACTTTTTATAATCCATATTTTACAGGCTAAACCAAATTCAAAAGTACCTATATACTTGGTATTACATAAATACACTAAGGTGGTACTACTACTACCACCACCACTGCTAAAACTGAACCGTACCTAGGCTACAAAACTAAAAACATCAACCTCCAAAACTGGAGAGCTTTCTCTGGTGCTAAAAGGTTTAAAAAACAAAGAGATGGAATTACACTGGATATAGAGCTTTTTAATCAAATCACTTATTAAAGAAACCTCAATACAACTCTCTTACAAAATGCAATTAAGCCCAAATGGTGGCAGTAAAACTTATCATTTACGTATGAACACTAGTTCACAAAATACATGTCCCGGCAAAGAACAAACTGAGCCCGATTTGCTCCACAAGTTGTTCATGGCAGCCACCGGTTTTGGCTATTTAACAAGCTTCTAAATCCTAATACACACGTCAGGCTGTCTAGAATAACAGGACAGACTACAACAGTACTTCCACAAACGAAAAAAATCAGGGTCATCTGAAAGACAAGAAAAACAATGGTGTGATATATGCCTTACCTCTCTGGGCGCACACTCTAAAAGAAAACATAAATGATGATAGTTGTAACAGTAGCTAAGTGACTTTTATTTTGTCTCATTTAGTTTCCACAATAACCCTGTAAAGGGGTCACTGCTACTCACTGCTGTTTTAGTGATAAGAAAACTGAGGCACCTGGAAATGAAGACTCTTGACCTCAGATCAAAAGATAACAGGGCCAAGATTTGAACCCAGGCTGACTAGCTCAGAACACTTCCGTTATGCTCCCCACAGAAGCTTCACTGCCTCTCTCCTGCCAGGTCCTTCTACACTCTCAAAGGCTTTCCCTTCAATCCAATTAACAAATTCCCCATAAACCCTGTACTGCCACTGATGGCTTCCAACTTCTGTGCACCACTGCTGCTCCCCAGCTTCTGCTGCCACGCTCCACCCCTAAGATTTGGAAAGTCAAAGACAAAAGTTGATAAAAGTTTCTTAGGCGCTAAGAGAAGCAAAATAAGTCACCTCGTATAAGCAGAACTCACGCCGATTGCCACTGGAATGCAAGCCGGCCTCAGCTCCAGCCCAAGAAAAAAGTGAGAACTCTAATATTCCCGTAGGAGACAAATTTGGACTATCCCTTTTTTGGCCACCAGGCTGGAAAGAACGGAAGCGATACTAACATTTACTGAGTGGCAGCCACATGCGCCCTAGGAGAAGACAGAACCAGGCCAATGAGGATTGGATGGGGGGAAGGGCACACAGGAGTTCCGGGAAAATAAATCCAAATAATGGGGTTCATACGACCAAAAGGCAAAGAGTAGGGAGTGGCCGCCCCCAGGCCGACTGCAAGAAAAAGTGGCGCTAAGAGCTGCTTTGGAGAGAAGGCGACCCAGAGCCTCGGGAGCTAGGCCAGGGCCGGGGAAGCCCTGAAGGGCGGGGAGGGGGAGGAGCCGGAGAGAGTGGAGCCCGCTCAGAAGAGGCCAGGGTGTAAGCGCGGGGGAGCGACTCCGCGCCAGGCCTTCCCCGAGCCCTTGACCCAGCTGGGGAAAAAAGATAAGAGATGAAACCACTGGAGCCGGTTAAGCTGCCCTAACTTCCATCAGAGGCGCTCACTCACCTGGGCCTACCACAGCGATCGCAGCTGCAGCTCGCAACGGCACAACCAGCCCGAACCTCGCCCCCGCCCCACAGCGCGCCTAGCGTCTCCGCTCTCCGACGATGGCGACGGCGTAGACCCGCTGCCTCCTGGGAAATGTAGTCCTACGCGCGCCTCTCCTGGCCGACTTGGCTGCCACCGGAACTACCTTTCCCAAAAGACAAGGCGAGCGTTGGGCCCGCCGCTTTGCGTCACGCGCTCGGTTGTCGGCAGTCACGTGGATTGCTCGGGTCCATTCCCCTCCCCCCGCCTGGGTGGCCCAGAGATGGAGGAGGGCGGTGAACGGAAGGGGCGGGGGCGTTGCTGACGCCACTACCCCCACCATTTTGGAACCGGCCTGCAGGGAGAGTCTGAGCCCCACCCACTCCGGGCCAGCTTACCTGGTCGGAAAGCTTCCGAGTTGGGAGTCTGCCGATTTTCGGTCTCTGCTGTACCCCCTTCCGCTTTGTGACCTTGAGCAAATTCATCCCTCCTCTCTAAACCTGTTTCCTCCCCTTTGAAATGAGACTCCTAATTTCCACCCCACAGCATTTTTGCGAGGCTCCGACAAAGTAAGGCACAGGAAAGCCTCAAGCACCCTGAAGGCGCATCGCAAATGGAGGGGTTGGTTTGGTTTCGTTTTTTTAAATTTTCATTGTGTGCCCTCATTCGGAGACCCAGAAACCGCCGCTCCCCAGCCCTCCTTCTGTAACTATGATTTTCTGACTAGCCTCCTGGGAAGCTTGTTAAAATGGATGCTACTTGGGTATTGAACCCGAAGTTTACTGGGGAGTGTATCCCTGCAATCTACATTTTAAACCAACCTGTCGGGTGATTCTTACCCACCTACAAGTTTAAGAATCCCAGCGTTTATCAGTTTTGCACAGGCTGATTTCCTCCGGAATTTCTGCGCTAGTGCCTTTGAACATTTAAGACCCATCTCATATGTCACCTGTGATGCTTTCAAAGTTGACTAGCTCCTCCCTGTGCTTGTGTTCCCACTGTAAGTTTGCCTCTTACTCTATAAGTATCAGGGCCTTCCCCGACCAGACTGTGAGCTCTCTGAGAGCCGAGATCAGTTTTGATGGATTTCTGCACCTCCAGAGAAAAGTAGACAAAGTACACATCAATGAATAAAGAAATCCAATGCTCTTCCTAAGAGAAAAGCTGCAAGGCTCAACTCAAGTCGCAGACCACAGCACATCAGCCCTTGCCCTCAGTGGTTTCGGCAGCATTCTTTCCACACGGCTTACTCTTTCTCCTTTGAGCACTTCCTGTGGTCCACGTACTGCGTAGTGCTTCTTAAAACGTTCTAATTTAATTGTTTTTTGTTTTTTGTTTTTTTGAGATTCCCCCTATGTGGCCCCGGGTTGAGCGCAGTGGTGCGATCTCGGCTCACTGCAACCTCTGCCTCCCAGGTTCAAGCGATTCTCCTGCCTCAGCCTCATGAGTAGCTGATTTTAGGGCCATATGCGACCACCCGGCTAATTGTTGTACTTTTTGTGGAAACGGGGTTTCGCCATGTTGGCCAAGCTGATCTCCGACTCCTGACCTCAAGTGATCCACCTGCCTCGGCCTCCCAAAGTGCTGGGATTTCAGGCTGGAGCCACAGGGCTGAGTCAATTTAATTTTAAATTAAAAGACTTTCTGGGTATCTACTGTAATACCATGCCCAGTGTAAAATACTGGGAACATGGTAGTAAACTAGATGGATACCAAAATACCTACTTTGCTCCCCTTTTAAGAAATACAGGCAAGGCCAGGCGCGGTGGCTCACGCCTGTAATCCCAGCACTTTGGGAGGCCGAGACAGGCAGATCACGAGGTCAGGAGATCGAGACCATCCTGGCTAACACGGTGAAACCCCGTCTCTACTAAAAATACATTTTAAAAAATGAGCCGGGCGTGGTGGCGGGCGGCTGTAGTCCCAGCTACACGGGAGGCTGAAGCAGGAGAATGGTGTGAACCCGGGAAGCGGAGCTTGCAGTGAGTGGAGATCGCACCAGTTGCACTCCAGCCTGGGCGACAGAGCAAGACTCCATCTCAAAAAAAAAAGAAAAAAAAGAAAAAAAAGAAATACAGGCATATGCTAGGAACGGTGGATCACCGTTTAGGAGAATGCTGTGACTGATCTGATCCTCTTTCTAGGCCACAAAAAACTTTCTCCATATCAGCAATAAGGCGGTTTTGCCTTCTTATCATTCATTTATTTCCTGGAGTTGCACTTTTTCTTTCTTTCTTTTTCTTTTTTTTTTGAGACGGAGCCTTGCTTTGTTGCCCAGGCTAGAGTGCAGTGGCGCGATTTCAGCTCACTGCCACCTCCGCCTCCCAAGTTCAAGCAGTTCTCCTGCTTCAGCCTTCCAAGTAGCTGGGATTACAGGCGCCCGCCACTGTGCTTGGCTAATTTTAGTATTTTTAGTAGAGACAGGGTTTCACCATCTTGGCCACGCTGGTCTCAAACTCCTGACCTCGTGATCCACCCGCCCCTGCCTCCCAAAATGCTGGGATTACAGGCTTGAGCTACCACGCCCGGGCTGGAGTTGCACTTTTAATTTCTTTTTTTGTTTGTTTTTGTTTTGTTTTTGTTTCTTTGAGATGGAGTCCCGCTCTGTCTCCCAGACTGGAGTGCAGTGGAGAGATCTCAGCTCACTGCAACCTCTGCCTCCCGGGTTCACGCCATTCTCCTGCCTCAGCCTCCCGAGTAGCTGGGATTACAGGCGTGTGCCCCCAAGCCCAGCTAATTTTTTTTTGCATTTTTAGTAGAGACGGGGTTTCACCGTGTTAGCCAGGATGGTCTCGATCTCCTGACCTCGTGATCCACCCGCCTCGGCCTCCCAAAGTGCTGGGATTACAGGCGTGAGCCACCATGCCTGGCATTTTTTTTTTCTGTTTTTGAGACGGAGTCTGGCTCTGTCGCCCAGGCTGGAGTGCAGTGGCACAATCTGAGCTCACTGCAAGCTCCGCCTCCTGGGTTCATGCCATTCTCCTGCCTCAGCCTCCGGAGTAGCTGGGACTACAGGCGCCCGCCACCACACCCAGCTAATTTTTTTTTGCATTTTTAGTAGAGACGGGGTTTCACCGTGTTAGCCAGGATGGTCTCGATCTCCTGACCTCGTGATCCACCCGCCCCTGCCTCCCAAAATGCTGGGATTACAGGCTTGAGCTACCACGCCCGGGCTGGAGTTGCTCCCAAAGTGCTGGGATTACAGGCGTGAGCCACCATACCTGGCATTTTTTTTTTTTTTTTTTTTTTGAGACAGAGTTTTGCTGTGTTGCCCAGGTTGGAGTGCAGTGACGCAGTATCTGCTCACTGCAGGCTCTGCCTCCTGATTACAAGCGATTCTCCTGCCTCAGCCTCCCAAGTAGCTGGGACTGCAGGCGCCTGCCACCACACCTGGCTAATTTTTGTATTTTTTTTTTAGTAGAGACAGGGTTTCACCATGTTAGCCAGGCTGGTCTCGAACTCCTGACCTGAAGTGATCCACCCACTTCGGCCTCCCAAAGTGCTGGGATTACAGGTGTGAGCCACTGTGCCTGTCCTAATTTCCTTCAAGAACTTTTTCTTTGCATTTGCAAGTTGGCTAATTGACACAAGAGGCCTAGCTTTCTGCCTGTCTAGGCTTTTGACATCCCTTCCTCACTAAGCTTAATCATTTCTAGCTTTTGATTTAAAGTGAGAGACATGAACAGTTAGAGGCCATTGTAGGATTTTATAGGGTTATTAATTGACCTATTGTCAATATTGTTGTGTCTCAGGCAACAGGGAACGGGGAGACTGGAGGAGAAGGAGAGAAACGGAATGGCCAGTTGGTGGAGCAGTCAGTACGCACACAACACTTACTAAGTTCACACAACAGTTATTAAATTCACTTACTAAGTTCATGGGTGCAGTATGTGGCACTGCCAAACAATTACAATAGTAACATAACTGATGTTAATTGATAGGAATATCGCTGATCACTATAACAGGTATAATAATAATGAAAAAGTTTGAAATATTGCAAGAATTACCAAAATGTGACAGGGACACAAAGTGAGCACATGCCTTTGGAAAAATTGTGCCAATAGAGTTGCTTGACACGGGTTGCCACAAACTCACAGTTTATAAGAAACAATGCCATATCTACAAATCACAGTAAAACAAGATCTATCTTGGATCTGTTCTAACATCTCTACCAATCTCTGCCCCTTCCCTGGCCCAGAAACTTACCCCAATGTTCCAGTCTCTGTCCTCTGCTCTCCTCATTCAGCCTCTCTCCCTGAGTGACCTCTCCTCTTGAGTGATGTGGCATCCTCAGGTAGCTTTAACATCTCTTATTTTTAATTTTTAATTTTTTATTGTATTTATTGTATGTATTTATTTATTTATTTGTTTATTTTTGAGATGGAATCTCGCTCTGTCGCCCAGGCTGGAGTGCAGTGGCGCAATCTCGGCTCACTGCAAGCTCCGCCACCCAGGTTTCGCCATTTTCCTGCCTCAGCCTCCCAAGTAGCTGGGACTACAGGCGCCCGCCACCTCGCCCAGCTAATTTTTTGTATATTTAGTAGAGACGGGGTTTCACCGTGTTAGCCAGGATGGTCTCAAACTCCTGACCCCAAGTGATCCACCCTCAGCCTCCCAAAGTGCTGGGATTACAGGTGTGAGCCACCGCACCTGGCCTATTTTTTATTTTTTGAGACGGAATCTCGCTCTGTCACCCAGGCTGGAGTGCAATGGCACAATCTTGGCTCACTGCAAGCTCCGCCTCCCGGGTTCACGCCATTCTCCTGCCTCAGCCTCCCGAGTAGCTGGGACTACAGGCGCCCACCACCATGCCCGGCTAATTTTTTGTGTTTTTAGTAGAGACAAGGTTTCACCATGTTAGCCAGGATGGTCTCGAATCCCGCTCTGTCACCCAGGCTGGAGTGCAATGGC